GTTAAATTACTGAAAAACAGTTACAGATTTATACAATAATTTCATTAAAAAAAAATTTCACGTTGAAAAATAATACTTATGACAATGATGAAAAAAAAAACGGTGACAAACAAGATCAAAGTGGACAAGAAGATTGTACCTACAAAGCGCTTTGGGCTAACTGTGTACTAGAATCTCACAGCGAGATTGAATACAAAACAATTTTGAACGGAAAATACCGTCAAAACACAGAATTAATATACTGTAAATGATCCCAGAGTCGTAAATGATGCTATGGTTGACAATTTATTAAATGCCGTTTTATTTTTTACAGACCGTTACAGATCTGGAGATGAACAATTGGACAATGGCATTCGGAATCCAGAATGCACGAGAATTTATGAATGAGTCTAACTGAAATTTAAGTTTACTTACAGATATCCACCGTTTCCACTCAATTAGCGAAGACGAGCACTTGCAGCAATTTGGCCACTTACAAGACATTAATTGAATTGACTAAATAAAAACATAAACGTATGGCCAGAGGAACCTGGAACCGAGCATAAATGAATCGAATTACAGATACGTGCCGTTTTAAACCTCATTAGGAGAAAGAGAGTACTTGCTGCAATTTCATGACGTAGCCATTCAGATGCTTTGATTAATTGGTGAGTTACAACTACAAACAAAAAGAGATAAACGAAGTCAGAGAAAAAGTAGAGTAATAAAATAAAAATACTAGCAAAACATGATGAAAGATATCAGAATAAGAAGTATGACACAAAGGAACAAAGTTAAGAGTAAAACAAGAAGTGTAATATCGACAATCAGATAGAATGTTCAGATAAAGTAATTAATTGTGAATTTGTTTGCTGCAAATAGATAGTATACTGATTATTTATTGTGTAGATGAAAATATAAATTTGAAAAAAATAAGAGCGGCAAGCAACTAACGCAGAATATTATTAATCATATCATGTCAATGATATCAAAATATGTAAGCCAAGCTAAAAAATAATAATAATTATAATTGATTCAAAAGATGAGTAGAAAATAATTTGAATATACCAAAGTTATAGTTTAATGAATGTTTTAGAGTGAAATTGAAAAAAAAAATTATCGAAAAGAAAATTATTGATGATACAGTGAAAAAGGGAAAATCGATTTTGAATATCCTTGGATGTACCAGGTGGCGAATCTCAGAGACCGTCAACAGCGAAGGAAGAGTCACATTCACAATGGCTAGATGACAATCGAAAGACAAATCATGCGGAAGATTGAAGATTGACGGTGTTGGGTAGGATGATCGGAAAAGTACAAAGAACAGGAAGATGGAATCGAGTGGTTTATCGAGGATAACAGAATTGATCAACACATTATACTGTATAGATGAGATCTTTGGCATAAGCTCATCACACAGCATCTAAAATGACAAACTACTTCAGCAACGATTTCGCAAACATCATCATAAAACTACAGAACATACAACGTAACGTTTGATATGACATCATTAAACATCAAACTCAAAAATGGCAATGAAGCACAATCAAGTACACAACTAACGCATGGTATGGCACAAACAATATATTGACTAGCTGCATATATAAACTCAGATAGAAAACAGTCGTGGATAAAATCCAAAAAAGTTTACATCTTATAACGAAAAAAAAAAAAAAAAGATGTGGAATTATACTACACCATAGAGAAAGTTGAAGTTCTAATAAGCACCAAAAAGTTTCCAACAGAAACATACATAATGACGAGATGCGATCAGTACAAGACATAGATAGAAAGACGATGAAGAGTAACCTGAATGCGGCAAACAACGAATCATAGATGGCGGGGAATGGCAGATACACCCACACCTGATATTTGATATCAACCAAATGACGAGTCAGGAACAGTTTTCAATCGCATGGATGAACGAGCAGAAATGAAGAAGCTTTTACGAAAGGTACAATTGAGGATCACCCTAAGGTTAGGAGAAATATGGCAACAAGAAAGCACGAAATTTTCAAATGGAAGATTACCAACTCAAGCTTATTGATAATAATTTTTGAAAAATGATTCTCAAGCTCAGTAAGTAAGGGGGGATGCAACAACCCCAAATTCTAACATCACTCCTTATAGTGAATTATTCGTAATAGTTCTATAGAATGTTAACATTAAATATCAATTGCAACAAGAATGGTATAACTCAACTAAACGCATAATTAACGTAAGTCAGTTAGGCAAATTTTCATATCAGCAAAACGCGTGATAAAACTTGTTAACACAGATGATTTAGCCAAATGACAAAATTTAGTTTAAGTATGAACGACTGAATATGTTTATCAATAGTACAAAGTAGGGTCTTAAGAAAGGCACAGTAGGAGTAAGAACAATAGTAAGAAGATCCAGTAAACAAAATTAGCAAATATAGAATAGATACCAGCGCATATCCTTGAGAAGAATCTCTTCGATATTATTCTCAAGCTGGTTAAGTAAGAGGGGATGCAAAGGCCTCAAAATCCAATATCAATCTGAGTAAGAAATTAACCAGTAATAGACCCCCATACGGTAGTAGAAAATACACAACTTAACAGCAGCAGTGACAATGTTGCACATTTCCAGGGTCAGTTGTTTATAAACAGTTGCTACCGCGTCGTCAGCGATGCGCGCTGACTTAACTAGGTGCTTCGAGAAAGGTCAAAGTAAACATTGGTGAGTAAGCATCCTACATAGCCGTTCCTACCGCGAGGAGCATTAATTCTTGTTAAAAAAAACAGACACCGACTTTCCAAGAGAAAAACTATCTGTCTCGCTTTATATGTACATACTGGAGAAAAACTATTGTGTAGAGTTTAAGTAACAAATTCATGTATAAAAGGTTTCGAAGAATAAAGAATCGGGGCAGTTGTTCTGATGAGTTATTATCCGAGGTTTGCTAGGTGCGGACGAGCACAGTTCCAACCTCAGGATAACTGATTCATCAAAGAGCTTTTTCCATACAGTAGAAATGGAATTGCACTGTCTTTCATTTTACGGAGAAAGAAAGACCACGCGAGTTGTTGCTCTACGTTGGGCACTTCAACACGGGAGTGAAACATGGATGCGCAACGGAGTATGGGCGCTTCACCATACATACGGTTGAAGATCGTTTCCGAGAGTTATGTCCATGAGTTTGGACATAGTAAAAGGTGCTCCTTTTAGGCCGAACGGCATGACCTTAAATCTATAAAGCCCTGATTTTGTTCTGAACGCGGTATATTTCTTCGAGTTTTCAGCTAATGGAATTTGCCAGTAAGCTTCTTTTAGGTCTATGACACTAAAATAGGTTGCCTTGTTAATCCTATGCAAAATTTCGTGTAAATTTGGGATTGGATAAGCGTTATTTTTGGTCACTTCATTTACGCGCCGGGAATCTAAACAAACGCGAAATTAACCGTTGGCTTTTTTACCGGGAGTAACGGGCTCGCGTAATCTGAGTCGCACGGTTCAATGATATCCATCTTTTTCATCCGTTCAAGCTCTTCATCCACAAACTTTTGGACGTATGGTGAGCAACGATACATTGGAGAGGGTTTAATCTCTGCTCCGGAAATTATTTGAATTTCGTGTTCCAAAATCGCGGTTCTACCAATTTTATCGTCTTCTGAAAATTCAAAATAACTAATTGCTTCTAGCAACTGCGTGCGGTCCTGATCTCCTAACATATGTTCAGTTTCAATCTCTTCGATCAACATTGGTGGAAAATCTAAAGTAGGAACGTCTAAGGACAAATCTTCTTCCTCGCTCTGATTTTCCTCTATTGCACCTACGAAATTGGAGAATTTAATGGAAACTTCTAAGTCGTCCTTTGAAAAATAGTTTTCAACTAAATTAATTGAGAAACTTCGAGAACTGTTTCCGATCTGGTCTAAGGATATGATTTCCTTGTGATTTACTTTCATTGCTGGAACTATCTCGAAAGCTTGCCAAAAATTGACTCCAAGGATCAAAGGTTTAGAAAATTCTAAAACAATATACATACGGATAATTTTTGTCATCTTATTGAATGTTACTGGGAGGTTTATAAATCCTATACATTTATGGTTTGACGTCCCTGCTGTATCTACTTTAATATTCGTTTTATGAATTCTGAAATTATATTTCTGTGCTATTTCCGTTGAATTTAGAACCGATATTTCCGCTCCTGAGTCTAACAGTGCTTCTAGTTCTGAATCAATAATTTTGACTTTTATATGTGGACATTTGTTTGGCTTAACACTTAACTCGTAGATTTTCCGATTGGTAGGATTTCTTTCCTCATTTCCTTCAGTGGGGGTTGAAGGGTTTGTCGGAAAAGAATCACCCCTTAGTTCTCCTCCGAATTCCCGTTTTTTGGAGTTTGCTGAGGGAGCATATGGCTTTTTGGGCACGTAAAAAATGTGACTCCAGGTGTGCCACATGCGTGACAAAAAATCACCTTCGGCTGTTTACAGTCCCTCCAGCGGTGACCGTATTTCCTGCAGTTCCAACAGAGTGAGAGAGGCTGTGATAGAGTTTCTTTTTCCTGAAGTCCCGAGTTATTCGCTTGAGGTTCCCTGGATTTTTGAAGTTGGCCTTCCTTTCTGTTGAAAGCGCATACTTCTTGTTCATCAGAAGACGATGATGAGGAGTTTGAAGTTGCCTCCACATTCCTAATGTGTTTTTTTGTAGGGTGAGTCGATTTCGAATAAATCCTTCCACTATCTTTATCTAGCTGCTGGCAAAGCATGTTGAGATGTGCAATATTCTTGATTTTATAGAAAGACAGTTTGGTTTTGTACCATCTTCGCATATTGTTCCTAAGAACTTTCAATCGTTTTCGATCCGAGTACTGTTTCGTCATTCGTTCGAACATCCCTTCTATTTCCGAACAGAATGCAACAAACGATTCTCCTTTCCTTTGCTTCCTGTCTTTAATGTCTTGTAAGATCTTACGATCCTTGTTGGGGTCACCAAAACGAATTTTCAATTGTTTAGAAAATTTATCCCACGTTTTGTACTTCTTTTTGTAGGTAAAGTACCAGCGACGAGCTTCACCCGCGAAAAGGATGTATGCTTGATCAAGGAACCTGTCGTTTGGAATCCGCTCAGCGATGATTAGTTCGTTCACCTGGAAAACGAAATCCGAGACGTCCATCCCATGAGAATCTCCGGTGAACTGGATACACCATTTATCTAGGCGGTAATGCTGGAAACGATCATCTCGTCTTCTGTAATCCTGGGATCTTTCCGTGAGAATACTGGAGTCGGAATCGGAGCTAGACTCTGAAGAGAGCAGACTGCTCAACGAATCCAGGGATGAACTTTCACCTTCTGATGACGATTGTTTCGGTAATTTCTTCTTTTTATCCCTTTTTGACCCTGTTTGTTCATTAGATTTGCTCTTTTCTTTTTTCTCTTCCTTTCTTTTTGGTATTGCACCCTGATACTTGTTTAATTTCTCTTCTTTTTTGTTATCAGTCCCTATTTTTTTCTAATCGACATTCAGAGCTGAGATGTTTGGTAATTTTTTAAAATATTTTTCAATTGATTCATTAACCGTCTTTGTAATTAGGTATTGATCAATAGATTTTCGTACTTCTTTTTTGATATTTTCGACAAAACTTGCTTCTGATTGTTTTTTTTCCTGTTTCTTCTGTTTCTTTTTTCTAACTGATGTTTCGGAGTCTTTAATATTTGCTTCCTCCAGTTCATCTTCTGAACTGCTTAAATTCATCAATCTAATTGCTGTTTCTTTGTAAATTTTAGTAAGGCTTCTGACTTTAGACAAAATGTCTACTTTCTGTTCTCCTTGGGCTAAATCAAGGACCTTCGATCTATAAATTCGATCTCGCCAATGGCGAAGTTGTGTAATCCACTTTACCTGGAATGTTTCCTTAAGACCAGTTTCGATCTCCTCAAGTTTTCTTGTTACTAAGGGTAATTCATTGACGAAAAAACTATCTTCGTCGAGGATGATGGTATCGTCACCTTCTTCAAGTAAAATATTCCTGAGTCTCCGTCTTCTTTGGCTATCCGTTTCTTCGTAATATTTATTTCTTATTGCCAGCTCATAAACTAACTCTTCCTCACTTAAATCATCCACATTCATTCTTTCTGCATAAAATTTTGCTGAAACCATAATACTAATTTGTTGTTTTTCTTTTGTTTCAGAAAATTGGTACTTTAAAAAAAAGTTCAAAAATATAGTAGAAAAATAAGGAAAATAGTAATATATACAAATCAAATCAATTCACAATGATGTTTTTAATCAATAAACCTTACCTCCGACAATATTTCTGGGTACGCTATAATTTACGGTAATTCAACTCTTATCCTAAGAACTTCAAATAATATTAGCTTGTAGAGTGCTCAAATCAATTATTTACAACTAATAAAATATAACTTATCATTAGAATTTCAATATCAACAAAAATAATTCAATAAATTTCAATGCTGAGTGGGCCGTGCCATTTGAAAGTTGGGCGCCAATGTAAGGGGGATCCTGCTAGGGTTCTCAAAAAATTCCGGCTTATGCGCCAGACGAAGAAGTCGTCTGCCGAGAATTGCAGATATGTGTGCCCAGCTAGCAGTTTTCTCAACCCAGCAGATTCCACCCACTAGAGTAACCCAACGACCAAAAACCATCAACGTCCCAAGTCCAATAGTCCAATCGTTCTTTTTCCCCCCAATTCTTCTATTCTAATTTTATCTTCCAATTGTTTTTAATTGATTGAGTGAATTTTAAAATACGGTGCATGTGAAATAGGTTTATTAAAATCAAGTTCAGTAAAGTCAAATTCGATTTAACGAAAAAAAAAACCTGGTTTTGAAAGGTTCAAAAAAAATCCATTTATGGTTTGCTCGTTTTAATTTTTGTTGTTGTTGTTTTATTCACAAAACCCTGCTCTACCTTTTTCTCCTATGTGTGACGTCACTCTTCCCTTCCCCCCTTTTGTGTTCCCTTGTGAGTCGTTCTAACCCCTAAAAAGCTTTCTTCCCCTACTAAATATAATTCAGGGTCCCTACTTATAAATCGGTGTTCTTGTGTGTGTGAGGAGAATGGTTCGCGTACTTACGGTTGCTGCTCAACGGTACCTGTTCGAGCCACACTCGTCCGTAGTGGGTGGCTCTTCCGTATGATGATGGACGATGATGATCACCCCGACCGTTGCCGGGGGGGGGGGGTAAACCAATCTACTTCAGACCGGCTCGATGATGCTCGATGGTTCGGTGCCAAGTTGTTCACCGCGACCAAGATGAAGATGCGACGGTTGGAGATCGCTATGACCGCAACGATCGCCGGGTCAGACAACGCCGTATCCTAACCTCAAAAAGGGAGCGTCGCCAGAGTGGCGACCAATAGCGGGCACTGGGTGGGGCGGATGTCGTCGAGTGGCATTGCCGGGCGAAACTCGCTAGATAAGGAATTCACCGTTTGGGATAGTTCCAGTGTGCACTAGCGTCGGTGGGCGGTTTTTCTGTGGGGTGGTATCGCACGGAGGGCCTCCGGTTTTCAGGACGTGAGTCGGGCGGATTACGCTGGCGTTGGCAGCCTTCCCCCTTGTGGACCTTCCCACGAAACAGGCAATCACTTTAGGCGTGTGATGCACGTGGGGCCGAGTTCTTCATCCGATGACCAACGCTCTCCGAATGTCCTATAGTGGTACGCAACCACGAGGCGATAGGAGCACTCAGGGTAACCAAGCCTGATACCACCAACCAAGGACTCAAATTCACTCTGGGCGGTGAACCGATGGAAATACCGTCCAAAATAACCTCGCAATATGTTTAGCGAACGTTCCTGCCACAAGCCCAAATCGCTGTTGCCACCGCTCAGTGGCTTCTGTAGAAACAAAGAAAACTCCTCAGAAACACATCACACATGTTTTTATCCACTACTTTACCTGAATTCTCAATCTTTTCACTTAAATTACTCCGACTCACTTTTAGCTACCTTAGCCTGTTTTTCTAGAAAAAACCTTTCAATAAAAAATTTAACTGATTAGGAAACTATCTTCACTTTTGCAAATAAACTTCGCTTACTTTTATAAACGATTTTCGCACTCGTGACTCACGTTTTTGTGTGCTTTTTATGTATAAAAAAAGGTTAATAAATTCTGAAAAAATAATTACACCACATTACAACATTTTAATTTTTTTTTCTTTAAGTTTTCACCGTACTTGATTTTATTATAGGTTTTGTTCACTGCACTGATTTTCTTTAAATTCTGTACTGATCTTCTTCACTCGGCGGTCCAAAAGGGAAAGACCAAATAGCTCTCCCTGACCAACCAATAAACTTCCCTTCTATTCATTTCATCTTTTCAATATTCCAAGTTTTGTTTCCGGTTCTATCTTGATTTCTAAAATTCATCATTAGATTTTCCCTGTCATTAATCATTGACATGGGTGAAAACACAGTCACCCCACTATCATCGTCATTTCAAAACAAATTGATTCGAGCACTCGAATTCACCTATTGCCTAAGCACTAGGAGCAACCAACTCTAACGCTTCTATATGAAACGATCGTTTGACCGTTTCACTTTCAGAAGAGATTACTCCACAACCAAATAAGCTATTTTTGATCTTAGAACGACAATTTGAAGGTTTTTAATACAGATTCTTAAAGTTGTACTCACATTTTATTTTTGATATAGTAATTACAGTAAACTGGCTGATTACCGGCATGTATCCAAATGATCAAAAAGTGGCCTATTTTCACCATTTTTGACAATTTTGATACCTGCCGGTAATCAGTCTGTTTACTGTAGTTACTATAACAAAAATAAAATGTGAGTACAACTTTAAGAATCTACATTAAAAAACCTCCAAATTGACGTTCTAATATCACGAAAAGTTTTTTGGTTGTGGAGTAATCTTTTCTGAAAGTTGAAATTTTTAAAAATCTTGAAAATCCAGGGTTGTAGCCGAGCAGAATCTAGGTACTTCAGAGCAAAATAAAAAAAAAAGCGTTTGTTCAGAATGCCAAAATAAGCGTTTTGGCCAGCTTTTGCTCAAATCGGTGACATCGACCACAACTTTTTAAAATTCTGTACCCACTTGAGCTGGAATGACCCATATATAATGGTTTATTATATGACAATGATTGATCATGAATTTGCAGAATGTTAACCCATTACCTGGATCATCAGAAACCTATTGTAAGGTATCAATTGGTTCTATTCATCTTTCCACTGCCATCATAAACAAAAATATCCGAACCAGTTTTACGATGGTCATGCATAATGTTTCGAGTGTCATTGGTCATATTTCATGAAGATATGATTTGATATTTCACTTGTCATAACCATGAGAGACAATCATTTCGACCATATGGAACAGCATTCCGGAATATCCAGAGTCGTTTCTAAAGTGGCTTTGAGAGATGCGTTGACCATGTGAAACCATGATCCGGAATTTTTGAAACCAGTTCTACGGAGGCCATACGGTTCTATGGACGTCGTTTCGTGTGCCGTTGATCATATTTCGTTGAGTAGATGTGATTTGATATGTCACTTGATATGGTTATCAGAGATATGAAATGTGGAACCATAAGCCGGAATATCTAGAACCGGTTCTACTATGACCATAAGGTTCTATGATTGTTGTTTTGATAGGCATTGGTCATATTTCATCGAGTAGATGTGATTTGATAGGTCATTTGATATGGATATGAGATATATCAAATATGACCATAAGGCATCATATCCAGAACCGGTTTTACGGTGGCCATATGGCTCTATGGTTGTCATTTTGAGTGCCATTGGTCACATTTCATCGAGTAGATGTGATTTGATATGTCGCACGATATGGTTATGATAGATAATAAATTTGACCACATGGAACCATAATCTGGAACATCCGGAATCGATTCCAAGGTAGCCATGGGTTCTAATGATTGTTCTCTATTATTATTTTGAGTTCCAAGAAAAATATCAATATGTTCTCGCAATGATAAGTAAGATATATGATACAGATTGAAAAAAAAAACACCCCCGGGCCAACACATCCTTGAATATATAACAAGGGGGAGGGGCCTGAGGGGAAGTACCACCCAACAGATGTTAGAACCACTCACCGGAATGATGTTAAAAAAATTTCAATTTATTCGGCCATAGCATTTCAGAGATACAAATCGGGTGGAGGGGGTAGGGGGGTAAGCTAAGTCCTAGAGCACTCAAATTTGTCCAATAGATGCTCTGAAACACAATGTATGCACATGCTAAAATTGAGCTCTCAACGACGTTGTTTATCCTCTGACGATAATATAATAAGGTTTTGCCGAAGCCGCCATTTACCCTATTAAGATTTTAATTTTCTTTTTTAATTTTTGCTTGGAATAACTGAAAACATTTTTTGAATATTTTTTCCCAGAACAACACTATTTTTTCCACAACTTAGACCTCATGTCGATCAGGAGCGCTCGATTTTTTTGAAAAATTTCAAAGACGTCATTTTGAAAATTTTACGATCCGACAGGGAGCATTGCAAACAATAATGCAATGCTCCCTGTCGGATCGGGGAAGGTCGAGTTTTTCCGATTCATCATTTGGTCTGGAACTGCTCCACATAAACTTACGGTCGATGGACGCCTTTATCTTGATGGATCCTGGGTCGACGGCTCGTGGTATGTTACAATTGATGTTGAACGACAGATTTTTAAACTCCGGCAGATCAATGAATTTGGGTTCATTTGCTATGTACTCTCGACTCTCCGGGGTGACCTGTAGCAAGTGCTCCAATCCATCGGATGCTAAATCGTTGACGGCTTCGATCTTGATAGAAATATCGCCCAACTTCTTTGCTTTGATCAAAAATGATATCGGTTTCACTTGGTTGGAATGTATAATGACTGCCTTACTCCGACGCCTATCTGTGTATCAAAATAAAGCAGAATCTATATGAGTGTGCCCTTTTAGCGATCTGAGATAGTGATAGAAAACATATATGTTAAAAACTGCTAAATTTAGGTTGATGTTAGGTTATGGTGCCATGTTTGAAATTTCAGCTCGCTCACGCAAACTTAAGGGTGTCCACAGTTAAATTGCACTTAAAAGTAACTTACAAGTACTCGCCAAAAATAAATCTCTCAACCGATTGCCATGACTTTTTTTCTGCTTTCAACCATAATTGCAACATTTCCTGCTCCGTAGCGACAACATTAGGATGCTTACCCCTAATAAAAATAATCATTAGAAAGAGCTTACCGACGTGTTCGGAGTATCATCCAAACCATTTGTGGGATAGTTCAACCATCCGGGTTACCGTTCGTTTATGATATTTGTTTATAAGGGACGGAATTCGTGCTTCATTATAGTCCAGTATCTTTCGATCGGCCGTAGCTCCGGTGTGTTTGGTGGATTGAGATCCATCGGCACGATCACAGGTCCATTGTACCAGTCCAAAACGTCCTTGGAGTAATGCACAAGAGGCTACAAAATTGTAGGGACGTTGTGTGATTTGAGAAACGGGAGCAGTCGTTTCTTCAGGCCAGTGATGCAAAATATCATGACACTCAGATGACACTCGTCTACGCATCAACCGACTATCGCTAACAGAACGTTCACACAACAATCACAACACAACAATCACCAGTAATGGTCGCTTCTCACAAGCTAAACGTTACACTCGCTGCGGATGATGAAGAGCACAACGAAAACAGTGAAGGCTTCTGCTGTACGATCATGAGAAAAAGCGAAACGACAGAAGAAAATGAAAACAATGCCTACGCACTAGGCGAGTAAGAGAGGTAACACAGTCGGAAGAAGTGTTAGTTTGTTTACTGAAATGAACCGCCCATTTTGTTATGGCAAGTTTTGCTATAAGAAATGCTCCTCGTGATTATTAGCGAAATTCACATCAAAGATTGATTAATTGCGTTGGAAATCAGTTTGGCACGGCATTTGTGACCAGCATACACCTTCCGGTCGTATGAAACAGGTCAAAAACTGTTCAAATCCACAGATAATTTTTTTTGTTTTGAATTAATCATTTTGTTCGACCATTTTCCACAGAGATGGCGCTGTTCCGCTGTTAGGAAGTGATAAAAATCCCCATAAAGAAATTGAGAGAAGTGCGAATAATTCGCTTCCGGTGCATATTCAGGTCAAAAAAAAGTGAACGACAACCTAAAGAAATTAGTTAGGGGCTTTGTCGTTCAGTTTTTTCCCGGAAATTAATGCTAAACAAGCTACAATTAAATAGAAATTTTACCTGCTTTACTACCAGTCCCCAGAGAGCCAAAAAAATTCACGAGCTCAATCTCTCAACATGCCTTGTATTTTGTTGACACTCGATTTGTGATTTCCCTTTCACAGATTACAAAATAGAGTACCTGACACTACAAAACATGTCTAGTACCTCTATATATGCATTTGCTTTAACATTTGAAGTACCTCCTTTTTTACATATTCTGCGCAAAAGATACTTTATACCCCGCCCCATACATAGAAATCGGCGGGAAATTCTGTGAGGGGTGAGCTATTGTGTGTGCAGAATGTGTAAAAAAGAATGGACTTCGAATAATAATCTAAATGCATATATAGAGGTACCAGACATGTTTTGTACTGCAGTGTCCTCTGTGAACAATTATAGGAAAACAGATTGTGTCTAGTTTCCAATAGATGTCACCGCAAACAACAGCTGTGACATCTGATGGAACATGAATGCAGAAGCTTGACAAAATGATCAATTTCTGTATGGCAAAATAGTGAACTTTTCGTGAACATTAACGGCAAAGAACTCACCAACACTGGGAGACCGTGAGTTCCTGCCCACCTGTCTTAAAAACATCTCGGCCTACGCATTCCAAGTTCGTCTCGGCAGGCGCGACTGTGTGAGTTTCAAACAAAGCAGGCAACATTAAACGGAAGTTGTTGGGCTCACTCACCAACACACTCACATATGCATGCAAAGCAGCAACTGCTTCAAAGCGAGCACAGATGAGTGTCGTGATTGTCGGGAATGACCAGATCGGTGATGGATCACAAGCGAAGACGACATTCATCAGTTGCTTTTTACTTCTTTCGTCAACTTGATGGATGGTCATGGAGAGAGCTTCGACGAGCACATTGATAGGAATGTACAAAGCGTTACTACACCCAACCGGGGGATGTAAGATTCGCTTACAATTATGTGGGATTCATCATCAGAGGATGTTAGTGGAGACCGCATGAACCGGGGATGCGATATACCTAGCTGCGGTCCAATGCATGAAAATTGGAGACCGAAAAATGTATGTGTATTAATGAGGTAAATTAGTTATGTCGAAAAAATAGGAATCAGATTGCCGACTGGACTCGAACCACGAACGTTGCGATTATCAGACCTGTGCTTTGTCCACTGCTCGCTCAATGCTTCTGAATATGGGTAGCCTAAAAGCAAACAAGAAGCGCTCATTTCCTCTCACACTTGACTTCGTATGCTTTTTCTGCTGGAGAGATTCGAGGCAAGTGTGTGCGACGTTCTACCATGTTATACATAAAAATCAAGGCAAATGCTTGCTTGAAAGCACAGACAGAACACGAAATAAAAAAGGCAAAAAACCATTACATCGCCTGCAAGGTCAACTTCTAACATTCGTTGCGATGTTCATGAACAGAGGATGGTAGGAAGTGGAACTAACATTCATTGTAATAAATTTTTGGTTTGCGTGTACCATCAATTGTTTGACGATCGTGATTGTGATAGATCGCAACTCTGTGTACAGCTTACGTGCCCGCGTTATAGTTGTCCTATTATGTCGTTCATTGCGGTTTGTTGCTTTCTGAACCTTGAATGAACGTAGTCCTGCTCGTTTCTTGGCTTTCTGCTCGAAGCTTTTTGTCAGGTGCACTTTTTTTCGTGACATCTTGAACGGAATAGTTGGGTTTCCGTTCGAAGGCAGCAACCACTCGCTTGTGATCTTCAACGCAGCATGGAACACTTTTTCTTGCACCCACTTGCTTCCGATCGACAGTTAAACGTTCTCCAAAACGTTTTATGACACGAGAAACAGTAGATTGTTGGATTCACAACATCTTTCCGATGGCTCGGTGCGAAAGATATGGGTTTTCAAAACTCAAAGCTCCTAAAAATTTCACAATGCAAATCACGCAGTGTAAACAATACACGTTGAGGCCATCTCATCCAAAATTTTATTAAAATTAACCCAAAGGGCAAAATGTTACAGATTTTGAAAGTGATGCAATTTAGCTGTGGATACATCGGATTTAGAAAAAAAACTGTAAAATACTCAACAATGTGTATTTTCGAAACTAAGACGATGTTTAGATATCAAAATTTGATGCCCGGTGCCATTTAGGAATCCAAGATGGTGGCCATCGGTTTTGAAAAACCTGTCATATACTCTACAATATGGGTATTTCCGAAATGGGGACGACGTGTAAAGGTCGAAAATCGATGTTGGACACCATTTTGGAATCCAAGATGGTGGCCTTCGTTTTTAGAAAATCTGTCAAATTCCCAACAATATGGATATTTTCGGAACGAGGAAGACGTGTAGATGTCAAAATTCGATGTCCGCTGCAAGTTTGGAATTCAAGATGGTGGCCATTTGTTCTAGAAATACTATCAAATGCCCTACAATATGGATATTTTCCAAACGGGGACGACGTGTAGAGGTCTAAAATTGATGTTGGATATCATTTTGGAATCCAAGATGGCGGCCATCGGGTTTCTAAAAAACTGTCAAATACCCACAATATGGGTATTTCCGGAACTTGAACGACGTTTAGAGCTCGAAAAGATGTTGGACGCCATTTTAAAATCAAAGATGGTAGCCATCGGTTTTAGAAGAACTGTCAAATACCCAAAAATATGGATATTTTTGGAATGAGGACGACGTGTAAATGTCAAAACTCGATGATCGCTGCCATTTTGGAACCCAACACGATAAGCTGAACTATTAGCTCTTTCGAATTCATGACTTAGTTCTCACGTTCTGACGCCTGTTCAGTGTGACTAGCGATTTCATAACGCTAAACAAAATACAAAATTCACAGTTGAGCCACTCCTGCCAGCGTTCAGCAGACATCCCGGTCCTGTGTATGAGAATTAGGGTGTCCCAAAGTTGCACTGGAAATCTGGGGGCTCACCCTCCAAATGATACCTAAGGGTGTTACAAACAAACTTTTGTATAGCGGCAACTCTGGGAAATGTTGTTTAGAAGTCACCCCGACGATAATTTTGAGAAAAGTCCATTTTCATAGCTTTTTTTTTCCTTTGGTTTGTTTTTTCCGTCGATCTTGTTTTCCGTGCTGAGTACCAATGCTACCGACGCCAGGGAGGCAGCTCCTACACCTGGACCCTACCTATCGACCCATCAAGTCATGAACCGGGAACCAACGGATTTACTTCCCATCCGAAGGAAGGCGTGATCAGAGATGTTATGCCTCAGAACATCCCGGTGACGCCGACTGGGATTGAACCCAGGCCTCCTGGGGTGAGAGGTAATCACGCTTACCACTACACCACCGGCGCCGTTCATATTTCATAGCTATTATCCAATAAATATTTTTAGGTCTTTTAATTTCAGTGAAATCTTACCCTTTCTTATTTTCCGCAGATTACCAAGGGTCAAAACTATAAGAGAAAAAAAATGCTACGGCATGTTCTGTGTCCAATTTGTTAGTTACAATTTTTCAAATTCTCTAATATGATGTTTTTTGTTGTACATCACTGCATTCAATCATCAAAAGTGGGTATCAAAAATAGCGCTATTATCAATCAAATGCAGCAAAAGACACAGAAACTTCGAAACAAATGTTATCAAGGGATTTGCAACAAAGTCGGTGATTTGTATTTATCGATTTCAATGATAGTTTAATTTGCTGGTGGACATACTGCAAGTATTGAAATTCTGAACTTAAAAAT